ATTTCTTACTTACTTCTGTATAGAAAGCAAAGGAAATTCCTATTATTATTATTATTCCATTCAAACATCGTTTTTATGACCTAAACATCGATGTTTTGCAAAACATCGATGTTTAGGTCATAAAAGCGACCTACTAATCTAATTTTTCATTACATTCAAGACAGATTCGACGCTGCGTTGCTAGAAGTTTCAAGAACTCTCAAGAAGTTTTTAAAACTTTCAAGAACTTCTAAAACGTTCTTACGACTAAAGATCGTATAAACATGATGGCAAACTATATTTGAAGGATGATTTGTGAAATTAATCTGCATTATCTGCGTAAATCGCGAAAAAACTATTCACTTCTAAAACGTTTCTGGTCTCTTTTATGTTATCCTAGAATAAACTTTTGAATTATTTGTCGTTTTGTTCCTACTTTGCATGAACAAGAATGTTTTTGTCAGTTTTCCAATGAGAATAGCTAAATTTTAGAAATATCATTATCCTTGACACATTCGCTTCCTGATCCTTTCACACAAACGCGGGTGTTCCCTTCCCCCATCCCCAAGGCCCTGTTCTGAGTCCTACTCTCATCAATGATCTTCCTGATCTCATCAGTTCCCAAGTAGATATTTATGTCGATGACACTACCATTTGCTTCTGTCTCAATAACAAATACGTCAGAGCTGACAAAATAAATCTGACTGTTGCTCTTGAAAAGGGGCTCCAGTCAGTGGTTAACTAGCGCAGGAAATGGCTTGTAAATTTTAACGACTCCTAAACAAAATTGTTCTCGTTTAACCAACATAGAGAAACTTTTCTGCCTGCCATCAGCAAGACACCTGGAGGGCAACACACTGCGCCTTCTTGGCCTCAGGTTCTCAACTGACTAGACATAGTACGACTTCATCGAATCAATAGCTGCATCTACTGCAAGGAAAATTGGATCACTGTGTCGTGCCAGACAATTTTTCTTGTCAAAGTCCATCTTGCACATTTATAAATCTACCATTCATCCATGCATTGAATACTCTTGCTATATCTGGCCTGGTGCTCTTGCTACTCATTTCGACGTTCATGACAAACTCCAAAGAATTATCTGTAATGTAATTGATCATATTTACATATTCTTCAAAGACTATTTTGTGCTTAGAAATAGCATTCAATATCTGAATTGACTGTCTAAAATAAACTTTTAAATAAAAACTTTTAATATTCTTTCTAGCTATAAATAGTTTACACTTAAACCACGACTTAATGTCGTGCAAAAGCCATTTCTCTAGGTTTACTATCAAATTTATGAGAACGGACAAGATGTACATGTTCTACAATAAACTAAACAGATTTATACATTAAAAGACATTTGTTTTATTTATAAACAATTAATTATTATGAGCAAATTAACTTGGGAACGGCTGACATGAAATGATTTATTTATTAGCAAAGGTATGAAAAGAGTAATTGTCCTGAAGCGACTGACAAGATATTTCGCTAGAACTTTCTTTCTTCCAAGTCTTCTTACTCACGAATCAAAATGGTAGGTGATAATGTAGGTACCTCCCCTGAATTTTTGATACCTAAGGTTTAAAATAAATTTTTAAAAACGAAAATGCATTCTTGAAGATTTCATTTTAGCTTTCATTGAAAGCTAAATGATTAAATTTATTATTTCCAGTAATTAAAATATTCTGGTGTACTTCAGATAGAAATTATATAGATTGGAATGTCAAATACTTGCAGGGATAATTTGCAAAGACGTTAATGATGAAAAAGAACTGAATAAAGAAAGTGAAATAATTGCAGTGCTTCAGACAAAACTTAAATCATGTGACATTTTAAGGATTATGTCATGTGTGGTTTACCATAGATATGTTTTATAACCAAAAAGGATTTCTTAAAAATTCTTTTAAAAATATATTAGCTCAAACGACCGTTATGAACTTTTCAATTCGTAAATTTACTTTTCACTTAACGATATCAGTAAATCACCGCCTTGAAAGCAATGAAGAATTTTAAACAATTTTTTAAATATTTTAAATTATTTAATTTTTTTTAAATGAAAACGATTCTTGTAAAAATTAATTATTCATCGAAAACAAATTTCTTAAGACAGTGGTGTCCTTAATAAATCTTATTTATCAAAGCATTTAAAAGCTTTTCTAATTAATGTAATAGTTTTATTGCATTTTTTTATTTTATAATGCAGAGCAGATATTCGGTGAAAGGGTCTTACAAAAAAATTGTTGATTTACTTTCTCCAAGGAGTCCTACTTTTAATCAATAAAAGGAATCTCCGCACTAAAAACTGAATTTCTCGAAATGTCATGAAATTAAGTAAGTAAATGTATGTTGTGTAAAAATTAAGTAAGTAAATGTATGTTATGTAAAAAGTAATTAAGTAAATGTATGTTATGTAAAAAAATACTTTTTAAAAGATTTTCTAAAAAAAAAAATTAAAAATATCATTAATTTCTAAATACGTTCTAAAAGTTTCATTAAAATTCAACAATTATTTGATTTTTGCAAATTAATGTGTTTCACCGGGAAAAAAAGCGCAAAAAACTAACCTTTATCTTTGGTTCGGCCGCTGACGTAAACAAATCAAGATTTTTAACCAAAATTTCGAACGTTCTAGAAAGGATTAAAATATTTCAAAAAATGATTAAAAAATAATTTGATCTTTTCTCTTAATAACAAGATAGACATTTTAATGACAAAAGTTCGTTTTTATTGAGTTTTGGGCTTATTTTCATCCTGTTATGCTATTTTTTTCCACGAAAAAGTAGAGGTGTATCACCAAAGGATTGAACTTCGATCAAACAAGGCGTTACTTTTATCTGGCGGGATAGACGAATACCTATTTTCATATTCTTCAAAAAGTATTTTGTGCTTTGAAACAGCATTCAATATCTGAACTGATTGTCTAAAATAAATTTTTGAAAAAAAATTAATAGTCTTCCTATAAATAGTTTACATTTAAACCACGACTTAACAATGTCGTGCAAAAGCCATTTCTCTAGGTTTACTATCAAATTTATGAGAACGGACAAAATGTACATGTTCTACAATAAATTAAACAGATTTATACAGATATTAGTTTTATTTATAAACATTTATTATTATTTATAATTATTGTGAGCAAATTAACTTGGGAACGACTGACATAAAATTATTTATTTATTAGCAAAGGTATGAAAAGAGTAATTGTCCTGAAGCGACTGACGAGATATTTCGTAGAATTTTCATTGTTCAAAGTCTTCTTACACACGAATCAAAATGATAGGTGATAATGGAGATTTATTGATTGCTTTTGGGCAGGTGACAAGATATTTCGCGATGAGGTGATATATCCAAGTTCTAATTTGTTAAATTGTTATATATATATATATATATATATATATATATATATATATATATATATATTAAAACAAAAACAGGTTAAAAATCGCTAAACAATTACAATTATGTTTCGACACTACAAATGTGTTTCCTCGGGCGATGCTAAACGACTCGCGAGTGAACGATTAATTTAATTTCAAAAGCAGAATACTTCCTCTTTTTTCGAGAAAAGAAGCAAAATAAAAATATACTTGTGAGCCTTACCGTGATTAACCAATCGAATGTGATCTGCGCTAAATTCAAACTCACCAAAAAAACTTTTAATATAGGTTATGACACGAAGTTGTCTGCATATAAATCCTAGACAATTTCCTTATGGACAAATACAAGTGGTTAAATTATTTCGTAGGATGTATAGAAGTCTGGTCTTCAACTTTCTAAGAAACAAAAGTGAAAGAGGTGGGGAGGTAATTTAACACAATGCTAACCAGTTAAGTGCTCATTCAGCTTCTTACATAACATTTTATAGTTGCTCGAAAAAAGAGAAAGTATTCTGCTTTCGAAATTAAATTAATCGTTCACTCGTCAGAGGAGAAACCGTTGTAGTGTCGAAACATAATTGTAATTGTGTAGCGATTTTTACATGTTTTTGTTTTAATATCCTAAAATAAATAATATTTAGCTCTACTCTGTATTGACTCCTTTTTTAAATTAAATGTTACGTACAAGTGAATTATACTCCATTTGTTCTCATTTTACCTGGATATATATATATATATATATATGCACACACACACACACACACACACACACACACACATATATATATATATATATATATATATATATATATATTCGATAAGATCAACTAAATCTGGTATAAGGTTAATATAGTTCGGTACACAGTAACATCAAACTCATTGCACTGACAAGAGTTAACGAAATTAGCTTACTCTACAACAAGCGCCGTTGTTAATTTCTAAGACCAACTTGGTCCGAAAAAATAAAAAAAACCCAAAAGGTACCAAAAAATATTGATTCTACTTTTTTTTACTAATGTTTACATAATTCAAGGCTCAAGAGCCACTCAAGATAGAGGGTTATTGAACGAGGTTGATGTATGAATGTAAGACGATTAAATGCAGATTATGAGGGTATGTAGAAGAGATAACTAGGTTCAAAGAGGTTAAGATTGTAATATCGGGGAAGCAACCTGTCGAAAGACCGTTCTATAAAGTAGAGATTCGCGGGAAGAAGCTGTTTGAATGGAACTTCCTCCTTACCAATGGAATACGAAGTGGATGAAGATGATGCGTGGCATGGCGGGTCTTATCTGTAAAGGTTTGAACTAGTAGAACTAATGAATGTAGCTTATTTGAACATTTGCCAGGGATATAACGATAGAGCAATGAGAGGCTAGCGACTTTTCGTCTGTGCGGAAGGAGTTGTATGGTGGAAAATAAATCATCGCCATATGTACAAAGGTTTACCATACAAATACTCGCTCAAGGGTAAACGCCAAAAATTATTTACTAATCTTAGTTTGGCACAAATAGCAAGGATTGAACTCACTCCATTAACAACAGTTTTCGAGATAAAACAACCCTCTACAGAAAGAGCCTAAGCGAAGTATGTATGGATGTAAGTATTTTGGTGGGAAAATATTTTCAATAGATATCTAC